ATAATCCAGAGGTCGCCGATTCAGTCTCCTGGCGCAGCGATTGAGAAACAATGCTGCAAGTTTTTACTAAATCCGTCCACGCCTCTGTCCACCCAGCCACGGAGGGCGGCGACAAAAATAACAAGAAGAGGCATTTGTGTCAAAGTCGGTAAAAAAAAACCTCAAGATTTCAAGAGCCTCAATGCATTGTGGTGTTGAATACGAGACGGTGATTCCTTAATAAATAACGCGTCACGAAGCAGCAGTCGCTTAAAGAGCCGCATGCGCAGGTTTTGCCGAGCCCTGACCCATCGGTGCAAATGGGAACACTATAATTCTAGATTTGAAGCTTTCGTGACTGCAAGGATTCATATTCTTAGGTTTTTTCGGTAAAGTCATGTAGGTAAAAAATTAAAATTAACAAAAGTAAAATAAAATAAAATTAAAATCACGACGTTTCGGAGGCAACACAAGCTTCCGTTTAGCTGTATAAAGTGATACAGCTATCGTGCTGTGACGGTTCCACCTGAAGACTGAAGCTTGTGTTGCCTCCGAAACGTCGTGATTTTTATTTTATTTTTATTGTACTTTTATTAATTTTTATTATTTTTACCTACGTGACTTTACCGAAAAAACCCAAGAACACTATAAGTATACTCAAGTACAGGCAGGTTGCGTGCGGTGCGGTAAAGTGTGAGTACTGCCACCTATTCTAAGACATTGGTCAACGTGGAAAAATTGACCAAATCCTTTCTAGAGGGGCTTCTCAGAGCTCCCTCTAATGGCCAGCAGTGACGAAAATACATTGTGCAGGGCTGCAGCTGTGCCCTTTACGATATTGTACACGGTATTTTAGTTCAAATTGTAGTTAAAATACCGTGTACAATTGCAAACGTGGTGTATTGTTCGATTTTAAAATGTTCTGCTCCGGGCTCAGAGGTGTCATCGGGTTTGAACTTAGCAGGAACCCTGACCTCAACCTAACTCTGACTTCAAAGAGGGCCCTGCAGTTGACCCGAGACGCTGTTTACCCAATGCCACTTTTCAAGCAGCTAATGTGTGCGATGAGCAAACAAAATCCAGTTTCCTGTTTGGCCACGGGTGCCCAATGATAAGCAGTGGTTGTGTGTGTGTGTGTGTTAATGCCCAGGGCTAAGATCACGCCGACCACTTCTGGACAACGGCAGGCAAAGGGCCCTTCTGAAATCCCGACACTTTGGAATCCTGAACCTTCACTTCAGGAGGGAAAGTGGCGGTACATCCGATGAGCACGGCTGGCTACGTGCGGCGTGAAAGAAGCTCAACTCACATCCAAGGCAGCGAGCCCGAGAGAAGATTCTACGGCCGAGACCTGGCTTCGTGAAATCCCGGAGGCAGAGGTTGATATATGCGATGAAAACCGACTAATTTTTCAAGCGAATTGTTACATTTCACGTAAATGGTCTATTTAAGGAAAATTGGTACCGCGGGTTTTGCCACTTCAGGCGGTTTCGTCGGTGGAATATTCGGTGTGGGGCCCATTGGGTAACGACGCCGCAAGGGAACGTCTAGCCATAGCTTCTAAATCATCCACTTTAAAGAAGCCGACACGACATGAACACACAGCCCAGGGTGGCTTTTCAGTGACGATAGTACGAGTTCAAATCCAAGCCGTGGTTCTGTTATCCCGTGACAATATCGACATCGTCATCTTTCAGGGTTAGTCAAGATGCGCACAGCCTGCTGAAGCGGTGCTCATTAGCAGGATGTAGATAACAACCCTCTTCCCATATTTGTCTCCACAAATAATTGCGGTATTTTTTTGACGCATCCCGTCAGCCACGCGGCCTTCTGTGAGTCCGTTTTACAACGGCATCCGTTCAAATTGACCGTGTTTGGAAACGCTTAAAAAATTGTACAGATACAGGAAGGGAGGAGGCATTATTGATTTGCAAGTTAACATTCTGGACGATGACGCTGTGTGATTATTTTGTGCCGTGTAATGAATAGAAAGTCCTTTTAACATCTGTGGATTAATTAAAGATAAATAATTATATCCGGTAGTGCCTCTGATACTCATGTATGCACTGTACATATGTATGTATGTTGAACTTCTTTCGCGCCGTACGTAGCCAGCCGCGCCAATCGGCGGTGCGGGAAATGGACAGCAGACCACACACAATCAGCAAAAAAAATGTATGCGATTTCAATGTGTAGCTTCAAAAGTGCACAGTTCCAGTGGGCTCCTCAAGTGAGAAGGAAGAGCGTTCCAGACGGTTGCAGAGGCACAGCTAAGAGCACGTGACGACACCAAGACCACCTCCGTTTGGTGGGTGGCTAAAATTCACTGCGAGGAGGCGCGCGATGGTCAACGCTTCCTGAACAAGGCCTCTTCACACGACAACACGCATATCGTGAAACACCAGCCATGGACAACTCACCACATTGTGAGTCAATGAATCGCCATGATTTTAGGGGGGGGGGGGTCACGATTTGACGAAGTGATCGATATTCACGAATCACAAATAGCACAACTGAAAAATCATCTGTTCTCCCACACACACACACACGATTCAATGCGTGTATCGTGAGCAGGAGAATCGGATTTTACTGAACGAGCCTATGAATGACCGCGCACTCATCCCCTCCGACATGCTTCTCCCCTCCACATGGCTACCACCACCGATCACCTCGTCCACAACCCCTCATCACTGGAGCCCAGCATCCCCGCAAACGCCGAATCTAAGACGATGAGTCGACGGTGGCTATGCACGCGGTCTGTCATCCGCCACGGTGGAGGCAGAGCGAGGGTTTGCGGATCGCACGACTTTTGTGAAACTCCTTTCCGTGGGCGTCGAGGAAGAGCTTGTACCCTAGCTCGCCAGCAGAAGGCGGTACAGCAAATGGGTAACTCCATCTGCTCCGTCCGTATGGGATATAGTGTTGCCCCCTCGCATGCGTGGGTATTCTGTGGTTTTTATGCCACATGTAAACATGCGTTAATGGGCCCGTAACAGATGAATACATAGAGGACAGCAGAGCTTGGGGGGGGGGGGCGCGGCTCAGCGTGTGGCTGCTGCTGCCTCCTCGTCGTCCGTGGCTCCTCACGCCTCTGAGTCGTCCTCTCTCTATCTCTGTGTCTCTCTCTGTGTCTCTCTCTCTGTCTCTCTCTGTCTCTCTCTCTGTCTCTCTCTCTCTCTGTCTCTCTCTGTGTCTCTCTGAGAGCGAGCGGCTACTGTGCAGCAGCGCGCTACAAGTTGACATCATTATTATTATACGTCGATTAGTCGACTAAAGTTGTAATTCCCTTACTTTTTGTTGGTCAATAACTCAGAATGCCTTTAAAAGTAGCGGCTGTCCCATGTATATTGCCTCCTGAAAGCGGGAAACCTCCCGTGCCTGATGCTCATGACCCCCCTCAAGCCTCCCGTCCAGCGGCACAAGTGGAAACAGCGGACTCTTTCCAACGACTTGCCATCTGTCCGACGAGTCGAGTAATCAGAGTTTGGTGGGGGGAGTAAGCGGTTACTTGAACGAGTCAGCCCCCAATCTCTGGGCTCAGGCGCGTGTGAGCGCCCGCGTGGGTATGGAGAGCGGTGGCGCAGTGCTTGGGGCTATGAACCCAACGCCCCCCGAGTGAGATTCACTCTCACCGCCAACAAGAGTGGCGCAAACGTTTGGACCGGCACTGCACCCTTCCCGAGGTTGACCCAGTGCCTAAATGAGTAGCCGGTGCGGTGTATAAACATCAGCACTGGTGGGGAGACAAAGGCGGTCGGGCGTGGTGTTGGTGTCATAGGTGCTCACAAGCAGCACTTGCCCCAACAGTCTGGCAAGGCTATGTGGGGGATCTTTGTCTTTGTTGGAAAGGTTTACAGTGAGTGCGAGAGAGAGCATGTGTGCAAGATAGGGTGCGTGAGGGAGAAGGTGCGTGAGTGCGTAATAGTGTGTGATATAGAGATAAGGTGCGTAATAGAGAGGGTGCATGAGTAAGTGTGTGTGAGAGAGTGGGTGTGAAAGATTGTGAGAGAGAGAGCGTGAGTGCGAGAGGAGTGAGGGTGCGTGAGTGCATGAGAAAGAGCGTGAGAGTCTGAGAGAAAGCGAGTGAGAGAGAGAGCGTGAGTGAGAGAGGGTGCGTAAGAGTGAGGGTGCATGAGTGCGTGCTAGGGTTCGTGAGAGAGTGCGTGAGAGAGAGAGAGTTATAGGGTGCGTGAGAGAGTGCGTGAGAGAGAGAATTAGAGGGTGCGTGAGAAAGTGCGTGAGAGAGATGTGCATGAGTACGTGAGTGCGTGAGAGAGTGAGGGTGCGTGAGAGTCTGAGAGAGAGCGTGAGTGAGAGAGAGTGCGTGAGAGAGTGTGCATGAGTACGTGAGAGAGAGAGAGGGTGCGTGAGAGAGTGTGCGTGAGTGTGAGTGAGAGCGAGAGTTAGAGGGTGCGTGAGAGAGTGCGTGAGAGAGTGTGCATGAGTACGTGAGAGAGAGAGTGTGCGTGAGAGAGTGCGTGAGTGTGAGTGAGAGAGAGAGTTAGAGGGTGCGTGAGAGAGTGCGTGGGAGAGTGTGCATGAGTACGTGAGAGAGAGAGGGTGCGTGAGAGAGAAGAGCGTGAGTGAGAGTGAGAGAGAGACCATGCGAGTGCGTGAGAGAGAGAGGGTGCGTGAGAGAGTGAGGGTGCGTGAGAGAGTGTGCATGAGTACGTGAGAGAGAGGGTGCATGATCACGTGAGTGCGTGAGAGAGAGAGGGTGCGTGAGAGAAGAGCATGAGTACGTGAGAGAGAGAGACCATGCGAGTGCGTGAGAGTGAGAGGGTGCGTGAGAGAGTGAGGGTGCGTGAGAGAGTGTGCATGAGTACGTGAGAGAGAGGGTGCATGATCACGTGAGTGCGTGAGAGAGAGAGGGTGCGTGAGAGAAGAGCATGAGTACGTGAGAGAGAGAGAGACCATGCGAGTGCGTGAGAGAGAGAGGGTGCGTGAGAGAGAGAGGGTGCGTGAGAGAAGAGCATGAGTACGTGAGAGAGAGACCATGCGCGTGCGTGCGCGCGTCTCACCGAGGCGCAGCGTAAGGTTCACGGACGCCGGGTGCTGCACGCCGTGCTCCATGCTGCGGCTCTGCCACCAGGAGCCGTCTCCGTCCGCGTCAGTGAGCAGCTCAGCCCCGTGGCTCATCGCCGGATCGGCGGCCGAGCAGCGGTGGCAGGCGGTGGCGCTGGCGCTGGAGGAGGCGGAGGAGGAGGAGGCGACGGCCCCCGTCTGCGCGCAGTACTCCTCCTCGACGGGAATGCCGCACGTGTCGGACGCCTCCACGGTGGCGCCGAACGCCGCGTTCACGAACTCGGGCCGGCACAGCTGAGCGCGGCCCCGCGCGTCGTAGCAGCTGCCAGGGCCGCCCGAGGAGCCCGCGGCGCCGCCGTCACCGCGGGATGCCGGGTCCAGGGCAGCCCTGCCGCTGTGCGGGGCAACGACGAGCAGAAGCAGCAGCACCGGCAGCAGCAGCAGACGGAGATGGGGGGCCGCGCGTGGGCAACAGCGCCGAGCTCGCGTCTCCTCCATCCTCGTCGTGAATTTCGCGAGGGGCTCGGTGCGAACGCAGCGACGTCTCGTTCGAATGGTGGCGGTGGTGGTGGCGGCTTCCGATGTGTGTGTGCGCGTGTGTGACTGACGGATCTGCGGGCTGGACTGCAGCTCGTCTTGTTGTCGACGGGGAGCTGAATCCGCCGACTCGGGAGGGATGCGCTCTGCCCGCTGCCGCGGCCGCTGCGTTTTGGCTCGTACCGTATTTTTAGCCGTGCAAGTGACGCGCCATGATGTCACCAGCTGCTGCTGCTGTCGCTGTCACTGCCACGCTGGGGGCTCCGGGCCAAAAATAAAATTAAAAAGTGGCACGAGTATTATTGCTCCTCCTGCTGCTGTTGCTACCGCTCAAGAACAACGCAAACAAGCTGGACGGTTATGATGTGTTCAGCAACATACATCCGAAACCTCTGCTGAGTATCTCAATCACGACTCTGGAAGGTCAACGGTGGTGTCCGTTGACCCTGCTGTGAGTTGTGGTGGTGGTGGAGATGTCCCTGAGTGGTGGTGGTGGAACTCCCCGTGAGTGGTGGTGGTGGAGATGTCCGTGAGTGGTGGTGGTGGTGGTGGAGCTCCCCGTGAGTGGTGGTGGTGGAGATGTCCGTGATTGGTGGTGGAGGTGTCTCTGAGTGGTGGAGCTCCCAGTGAGTGGTGGTGGAGGTGTCTCTGAGTAGTGGAGCTCACCGTGCGTGGTGGTGATGGTGGTGGTGGAGATGTCCGTGAGTGGTGGTGGTGGAGATGCCCCTGAGTGGTAGTGGAGTAGTCGTACAACGCGGCTATATTCGTTTTAAAACAAGCCGAGCCGAGCGTGCTGGGTTGTGCTCAACTGAAGGTGATGAGGTGGAGATGTTGCGAGCTGGAGATGATGCGAAATGGAGATGTTGCGAGCTGGAGATGATGCGAACTGAAGATGTTGCGAACTGGAGATGATGCGAGCTGGAGATGATGCGAACTGGAGATGTTGCGAGCTGGAGATGATGCGAACTGGAGATGATGCGAACTGGAGATGTTGCGAGCTGGAGATGATGCGAACTGGAGATGATGCGAACTGTAGATGATGCGAACTGGAGATGATGGGAGCTAGAGATGATGCGAGCTGGAGATGATGCGAACTGGAGATGATGCGAACTGGAGATGATGCGAACTGGAGATGTTGCGAGCTGGAGATGATGCGAACTGGAGATGATGCGAACTGAAGATGATGCGAGCTGGAGATGATGCGAGCTGGAGATGATGCGAACTGGAGATGTTGCGAGCTGGAGATGATGCAAACTGGAGATGTTGCGAGCTGGAGAAGATGCGAACCGGAGATGTTGCGAGCTGGAGATGATGCAAACTGGAGATGTTGCGAGCTGGAGAAGATGCGAGCACGCTGTGTTTTCGTGCTCACGAGCTCCGCGTTCCGTCTCCGCGTTGGAGGGAGGGACCAATCCTCGTCTCTGCGGCGAGACGGGCGCAGGCAGGCGGTGGCAGGAGGAGAGGGAGGGGGGGGGCAGTGGTGATGGATGGGAGTGGGAGGGATGGATGGGTAAGACCTGGACGGAGTAATCCGCGTTTTAAACAAGCCCAACAATTTTTAAGCACTGCTGTATACGTTTCGCCGAAGGATATTAAGACGGCGTCCTTAATGTGTGTTCGAGAATCTAGAACTCTTGACTCTGGAGATGATTTCTGAAGGTGACGTCCTATTAGCCGACCCGTGTGGTATGAGCAGTGAGAGGAGTTCACGGCCCACAGGTAGGAATCGCGTGAGTTCGACTCCCTTTGAGAGGGTAGGGGTTGAGAAGTGCACACGTGCCTCTCTCATCCGCAGGGGGTCGATAAAAGCGGACACCGATCCTCAGTTGGCAATGCAACACGACCTCAATGCCCCATTCCTGTGCCATGGCCATGGGTCGTTGCACACAACACAACAAGTCATACCTCGCCAAGTTACAAGTAGCCACACGCATGTAACACCGCAGTGCTGTTAATCGTGTTTACACCTGTGAGCGTCTACTACAGAGCTCGCCAGCAAGCGAGCTGCCTCGCAACGGAGCATGCGTTTCGTGCTGTTTGTTCTCATTCATTCTCAGGGAGAGAGAATGATTCAGAGCAAGGCCGTATCCATGGAGTCAACATTGGGGGGGGGGGGGGTGACAAATCTTCCAGGGGGTCTGGGGGTCCCAACCCAGAAAAAAAATCTAAAATTAAAACTAATTTCCTGCCATTTCCTGCCTAAATATATTTAAAAATTCACTAACACATGGGATGAACTTTTTATTTATTTTTTATATTAATGTCTAATAGTGTATTGTATTACATTGCTCTGTTTTGACTTTTTTACCATTTCTTGTTTCATTGTACTGTATGTAATGTTTGAGATTAGGGATTAATAAAATGCAACCATAATCATATAAACAGAAATCTATGCATTGATTTATATGAAGACAAGTCCAGATATTGTGGCCAAGGTTTAGCAAATTGTTGTTTTTATTTACATAGCATAGCAATTATTATTACTTTTCAATATTTTTCTAGCAATATATTGGGGGGGCGGGGGACATTTTGAGCATATTTGGCTTGATTCAGAGGCGCCTTAAACAACAGACCGGAGCGGACAGCCAGCCAGAGCCGGCGCTACCAACAATACCCCAAACCTCTGTGGCCCTAAATTGGGATTATTTGGCGATACCGCGTGGGGAGTACAAATAAAAAAAATGGTGAACACATTCGTTCATACCACTGCCGTCTTAAAAGGGAAATATATCATAGGCGGTGTTTCGGTTCACGGGGCCTTTGTGCATGGCACATATATGGCCACCTCCATTCAAGAGGGTTGATACACGTGGCGAGGAAACCGGAGCATCCGGAGAGGACAAACGCGTGCGAGTGGGTGACATTCAGTCCACTCTTGATACATGGAAATGTGTCCGTATTCTAGATTTGAAGCTTTCGTGACTGCAAGGATTCATATTCTTAGGTTTTTTCGGTAAAGTCACGTAGGTAAAAAATTTAAAATAAAAATTAATAAAAAAAAATCACGACGTTTCGGAGGCAACACAAGCTTCCGTCTTCAGGTGGGACCGTCACAGCACGATAGCTGATTTTTATTTTATTTTACTTTTATTAATTTTTATTTTTTACCTACGTGACTTCACCGAAAAAAACTAAGAATATGAAATGTGTCCGCTTTGCTGCAATGCCATACCTCGGCTAAGCCAGGAGATGGCGACCTTAGCGCTCCCACGGGCGACGGAGTTTCGCAGTATTTGCGTGGCGATCCAGCAAAAACCTCTGTTGCTGCCCCCACACACAGTGCCATACCTGTCAAACCCTTATCAGTGTCCTACCTTATTATTACAGACCAATTCAGACTTTATTGGTCACACCATGTCATTATAAATCTCAACGTTCATCCTACAAAGTCACATCACAAGGGAGAAACACAAAACAAATAGACACAAAAATGCGTGTTGTCCGTATTAAAACGGCTGCACGCTGTATGGACCTGAAAACTCAATTTCCCTGCCCAAGAGCACGTGGTACACCGTATGGACTGTCAGCTACGCAGTGCTGTATTACAGTCAGCGACGTGCAGCAGAATAGCCATCACCACTGCTGCCACATCTGTGAAAAAGAGCTTTATAGCTCATCGGATTCCTCCAAAAATATTCTGATACAGCTCCAGGGCGTGGGGAGGAATGCGATTTTCCGTCTTGTGGCTAAGAGGTCACCTGAAAGTGGATCACTCAGAAGCAGTTCTATGACATTGTAGTGCGTAGTTAATGTGGCGCTGCGCTCTGCTGTTGTAGGAGAAAACATTTATTTAAAAAAAGTCTATTTAATTAAGTAGAACGTGTTGTCTATATTTATTTAAAGTTGCGCATTTTTACGTGACGTCACATTTCTCAACCCCCCCCCTCGTCACACACCGTCACAAATGTCTGACCCCCTCCCCCCAGGTGCGTGACGTAATTTATGGACGGCCCCTTACCTGGTAAAATTAAAAGTTTCAGTTTTTTTTATCAGTATGTGCGATCCATTCTGTCAGTGCTAGACATTCCATATTACGATGGTAAGAGCCACAAACACGTAAAAAATTAATTAATATCATGGCCCAGACGTGATTTGAACTCGCAACCTCCTGATTTGGAGTCAAGACGCTCTTCCGTTAACGCCACGAGGTCTCTGCAGCGGTCGGGCGTGGAAAACACGCGCGCGGGTTCGAATCGCCCGGCACCGCTCCCTTAAATATTTATTAATGACGGAGCTTTTTGTAGCTCTGTCTTCAGAAGCGACCTGGACACAAATGATAGCTCAACGAAGTGGCGGCTTGTAGTGTGGACATTTATCGCAGCCAAATACTCTAAACGCATGATTATGAATGTGTGGGGTGGGGGGGGAGGTCCCCGATATGTCGTCTCGATATACGTCGTTTCGCCCCCTACGCCGCTGACTTAGTGAGGAACACAGCGTAAAATGTGCCCGCACCTACACGTCGTTTTAAACTCGGTTCAGCCTGAGCCGAGTCGAAAACATTGTGCGTGTGACTTCGATTCTCGCCTACACCAACACCAGTGACGATTATCGTTTTCGATTATCGTTTTAGATTATAATTTTAGATGCTCGTTTTAGATGATCATTCTCGATCATCGTTTTAGATTATAATTTTAGATGCTCGTTTTAGATGATCATTCTCGATCATCGTTTTCGATTACCATTCTCGATTATTGTTATCGATTGCCATTTTATATTATCATTTTCTATTATCGTTTTCGATTATTTTAGATGATTGTTTTAGATTATCATTCTCGATTTATCGTTTTCGATTACCATTCTCGATTATTGTTTTCGATTGCCATTTTTTAATTATCATTTTCGATTATTATTTTAGATGATCGTTTTCGATAATTTCAGTTGATCGTTATCGATTATAGTTTTAGATTATTATTTTCGATTACAATTTTACGATGATCGTTTTCTCGGCTCAGCTGATTTCGACTCTAGCGGGTGGTGTGGGTGTCACACAGTGAGGGGGTAACGGCTGGTGCCATCCACCAGCCATCTCAGACAGCCTACCCATGGCACCTGCAGGGTCTGTCCCGAGACCTCTTCCTACCAGTGAGCCTTTGACGCTTCACTTAATGTGCATGTTGTTTATGTCGTTTATTGTGAAATTTCGATCAGATTCCAAAGAACACAGGATGAGATGTTACTATCCTTTGTGCAAGCACTTCCAAGAGTTCATGAACAGTGAGCCTGGTGAAATTTGGGGAGCGCATCGTCAGTAGTGAACCTTTGGGTCCTAGGGTGTTTCGGCCTTTCATACTATA